GGAATTACTAATATGAAAAACATCACGAGTCTTTTTTCCACGAAGACAAGCATCACAACTTTTAGTCAAATTAACTGGCAACAAGGATTTATTGAAACTAAGAGCGGAACGTAAAACTTTCTCTGAAGGGTGTCCTAACCGGGAGTGCCATAGACTACTCATATCCTTCCCTTTTATTGAGCAAGCGTGAACTGGATCCAAGCTATGAAAATAGTATACTCCCCCACGTCTTTCACCCGCTCCAATCGGTGTCCTCGAAAGTAAGTCCTGTATCACACAAACATCATTAGTAAATATTATGCCACATTTTCGTTCATCGATTAATTGCCCCACAGAAATTAAATTGCATGTCAAACTAGGAACCAACAACACATTATTTAGTTTAATTCCTTGGCTCAACTTCACTTCGCCTTTGCTCCGTGCAAAAGTAATGTCACCATTTGGCAAATAAACAGACACCGGGGCCTAATTGTTGTTGGTTCATCAATAGATTTGTGTTTCCGGTCATGTGAAAGGACACACCAGAATCTAAAATCCATGCAATTTCATCATTCGTACCTGATACTTTATATGTGAGGAGGTCTTACACTTATCCATGAGATCTAAAAAAGTCTTCCACTGATCGGCTGAGAAAGTGGGTGCTCGTTCAGAATTGAACAAGTAGTATGGAGAAGAAGAATCATTAATTTTTCTCCGTACTGATTCGGTCGTTCGGTCACCGGAAAAGGAATTGGCGGTATCGTTCGTCATGGTCCGTAGAGGTCGTCGGAGAACAGAGGTAATCTCTAATTAGAATACCTCTGATACCAATTTAAACAAGACATGTGAGGAATTATTTTTCATTGTTTATTACATAAACTCATTGTACAATATATACACTTTACACGCCTAACGTATGCGACTCTCTCGCTACAGGGAAGAGTCCAACTAGTATACAAATGCCAAAAGACTATAGAGATAAATATCACAATAAAATAAATACAACAAAGAATAAACAAATTGTACAGATAACAACGTGGCTAGCATTTGTTCTTATCCAACAAGTTGTGTTGCTACATACATGGTACGTGAATGTATGTGAGACATTTTTCACCACCAACACAACCAATAGCAAGTCCATTACAGACAGTATAAGATTAATTAAGTTCAAAGAGAATGAAGATTTGTAATATATGAAAACCTGGTCAGTGGAATGAAACCGCAGCAGACCGATGAGTACGAATACTTGGTTCCCGTTGCATTTCTCCCCCTTGATATATACGAATCATACTGAGATCGGAAGTTGCTTAGGCGGTTTAGCAGTTGAATAGCTGCGGGAATGAACAAAGAGACGCGAATTAATGAATGGCTGTCTGGTTAACGGTGTTGGAGTTACGTGGACTAGGGGTGGTTCAGTATGGTATACCTTATATTTTTTCTCATACCTTTGTCGTACCAGTTAACTTGCAAAAATCATTTAACGACCTTCCCTATTGAATTTTTTGCTGAAATTTGGTATGGATGAACTAGACTTGATGAGGAACCTACACAAAAAATTTGAGCAAAAAATACCACCGGGAAGGCTCCCAAATGGAGGAGGCCGGACGGCGCTCCGATCAGGAAATTCCTGACCGGAAGATTACTCTCTCTCTACACACACACACACACACACACACACACACGTAGTACTCTGTCTGTCCCAAAAGGGTTGGCCAAATTGCCGTCCCAAAAAGGTTGGTCATTTCCATTTAAAGTAAAAAATATGTGGTTAAAGTTAATTCTCTCTCCTTTGCACAAATTTCAACCACACAATTTTTATTTTATTAATCCACGTGCAAGTCAACATTGACCAACGATTTTGGGACGAGGGAATATAAAATTAGAAAGTGCGAGGAAGTTCAAATGAAGTAGTTATTTCAAGCATTGGGATGTTAGCTCAAATATGGTATACAATGGATAGTATTACCATTCAAATTTTATTGACATAATAAAAAGGTTCATTTATTTAAATGCCAAAGTGAAAACGTCTAATAAGAGCATCTCCAATACGACAATGTGTACGGTACACATGTGTCATGAAAGATAGCCACATAAATATTAGCAAATGTTTTATCTCTCTCCTTATTTGAATGATTCTATACAATTTTGATAAGTTTTTCTCTGTAGTGTCAACCACAATGTTAACTTCTAGATGATTTTCTCAACATTGTGGAGAAAAACTTACTGAAATTGTATAAAATCATTCAAATAAGGAGAGAGATAATACATTTGCTAATATTTACTATCATATATGGTTACCTCTCATGCCACATGTGTACCATGCACATTTTAGCATTGGAGATACTCTAACCAGTAGTCTAGCTTTGTGTCTTTTACGAGTACGTTTCACGAGACTTGTATTCATGTTTAAAGAGCCATATGCAATAAATAATACTCCGTATTCATATTAGAACGGTGACGGAGAATGAACTCCCACATTTTGTAATACTACATCCGTCCCTTAAAACTTTGTCATCTTGGTCCCTAACTTGGACGGATGGAAAGAACAACCCTAGGTCCCTAACTTGGTCGCGGTGGGTGGCTAACGGCTAGGACATCCTCCCAAGTCTCAAGGTAATGCCGTTTTTTGACAGGTTCAAAAGGTCATCTGGAACAGGGTCCACCAAATTGAGGGCCCCGAATTTTTGTGGTATTAGGATGTTTTTACTTGGACTGTAATTTATCCCAGACCAGTTCAGACCAGACCAGACCAGACCAGACTTGGATAGTTATAAAAATACAAAGAAACCAGACCTTACCAGACTAGACCAAACCATGTCCAGATCAGATTAGCAAATTATAGTCCAAGTAAAAACATCCTTAGTATTATAATAAAGTTATATTTATTATAGTAATGTGTAGTTATTTCAAATCATGTCTTTTTCTATATGAGTTTATGAACACTTGAACACAATTAATTTTATTGAGTTATGTGAGTTTGTAATTATATGTGATTTTATTTGTATTCATATGCGGGGCCTCAATTTCGCAATTGAAACCGAGGTATCTAAGTTGATTAGACGGCCCTATCGTCGGATCTGATTAACTAGTATGTCCTAAGTGGCTTATATGGGCTCAATGTGTCGGATTGCACAGATATGGAACAATGCCATAACCGCACCATCTCAAAATCTGAAATCTTGATTATGGCTATATATTACTACACACGTCTCACTAACATATGGATAAGAGAGAGTGACACACTTATTAAGAAAAGTGAGTTTAGGTTAATATTGAATTGAAAAATAAAAATAAAGTAAAAATAATCTTAATGACATTTCCCGAATAGGAAAAATGGGACGATCTTAGCAAGAGGGAGAGATTATGACATATCCCAACATATCCCAGAAGCCCAGAGAAGGAGAAGATGGTCTTGATCGGTAGCCCAACAGTCCCTACCACCAAGGCTGAAGCTCCCAGCCGAGGCCGGGGTTTGTAGTTCGTTCCCGAAGTTGCATCAGGGGGGCAATTCCATCATGGCCGAAATGAATCACCGACGCCAAGCGAGATAATCTCTACCATTATTTCCTCGGTCGAGGTCGAGCAGACTTGATCCGCCTCGATTAAAACAACTTCTATAAATACTTAGTCATTTCTCGGTCATTCCAGACATGCACATGCATGGTTACATCAAAGTCGCGTACGCAGACATCATTGGATATGATCCCAGGACTGACATCATGCCTACATGAGACTAATGCACATTTGAAGTCATCAGTGTAATCCCAAGACATCCAAAGAACACATGTCATACAATCATGGGCTTGCATATTATACTTGCAATTGTATCCCAAGTCTTATTCTTTCCTCTAAAGTCTCAATAGTTCTACTCTACCCTCACGTTAATTCCTTAACCCACCGGTTGCCAAATATCCAAGGATACAAGACAAGATGTGTACTGATAGACCCTTCTTTGAACTATAAACACCCCAAATTCACCATTTGAAGGGTTAACTAACATTTATTTAGAACATTTAGTGTAGAATTCATTCCCCATTATTGTTGCTATTTATAGCTTGTGAGGCAGATGGCTTGATTTTAATGTAGAGGATTTGAACCTTCTTCTTCTTCTCTAGTTATATACTCCGTATATGTATTCCACCAGTAAAACTTAAGAGCTTTGTATTGGGCTATTTGAATGATGAATACAGATCTCTCTTTGAGAATTAACCTAAAAAAGCATCTCCTTAAAATTTCAACGTTAAACTTATACGGAGTATATTTTTAAGAAACTACAGTTAATATTAGAAAAATAGTAAAATCTGACATAAGTACAATTATGCATTTAACTATTAAAAGATACTAGTACTATTTTAGTACAAACAAAAAATTTCTCACCATTTTGAGATGCCTCAAAAAAAATCACACTTCTTTTTATGGAGTGATTTTTGTGACTAACATTTATTTACATTTTTCTTACATTATCATAAACATACATTTTCATTTTATCTGTGATTTTTGTGACTAACACCCAATTCAAATTGAGATTTCTTTAGACGGATGTTGTTATTATTTTGGAACAGAAAGTAGTAGCTAAATGAAAAGTGTAGCAGTGTAGCTCATATAGGCCACAGTGGTAGGTTGTTAGCCCAAGTCTCCGTGTCTGTCTACCATAATTAACTAAGGGGCAGATCATACGATTCATATCGTTTTGATTTAACAAAATGAAAAACCTAATTTTTTATTTTAGGATTGGTTTTTGAATGTATTGGCTTAAATTAATGTAGAGTCATTTTAACTATTTCTTATATAATTCTTTCTTTATTTTTATTAATAAAATACTCAGTATATTTTAATATAATTATTCAAAAATCAACAAATTTGCCACACAAGCTCTGAATTGTTTCAACCGGGTGAAATGGAAAACGAATGGGGTACAGTAATCTGACGCAAAAATATGATGGCAGCAGTTTGTGAATCCTTCTTCCCATACAAATCCCAAAACACGCAGAAGTGTTGAGCATTTTACCAATTCCAATGAGCTGATATCGAATTTATAAAATATGAATGAATTTGAACCAAATATAGATTAGAACAAACTTAGGTGAATAAAAGAGAATGAGACGAAGTAGTGAATCAAGGGAATATCACTTCAAAGCAAAATGGAATAACAAAATGGCCTCTATTGCATAATCATGGAAGCGATCAACTAAGCATCAAAGAAATACAATAAGTACACTGTACACACGCCACAAGCTCGAAAATTTGTCTCTATAAAACTTTGTCCTTTCGTCGCATCCCCTCTAACTTATTCTACTACTAGCTTGATAATTGTCTGATGGATTAATGCTTTCTAGCCGGAGCTTAGCTCATCATTAGTGAAACCCTGCAACAGTGCAAGCTTGTTCTTGAGAGAAACAGATTCTGCAATGAGTCAGGTAGAGCAGGATTGCATGTGATGTTAAGGCAATTATAATAGAGTAAAGCTACAGTTATATCAACATTGATGTAATTTAGAGACTAATAAAGTCGGAAAGCTCATAAAGTGAGGTTGAACAAGAAATTTGACCATAAAAATGTCATCGAAGGGGTAGATCTAGATTATATTGAAGGAGAGAAACTCACTTAAGCTCTTGGATACCGCGAACGTCCTTTCTTCTTCAAAAACTCGGGGATTTCTACTGAACCACCTTCCATGAATGAAGCAGGCCGTCGGTTAATGCCAATGGTGGCATCTCCTGGAGTTAGCTGGCTTGCCTATATTTTCAATGTAGGCAACGGAGTGAATGTGAAAGTTTGTGTAGTTCATATATGTGATGCCACAATCTAAACCTTGAAAAACAGAGTAAGGAAGCACTAACCTGGGCGGGCTTATCATCACCTTCTTGCCGTTTGAATCCAGTGGCAATTAAAGTTATACTAACCTAAGTGACAGATGCAATAATGAAAAAACAAATATGCAAGTTAAAAGCAACTGTATTAGAAGAGCAGTACGAGAGTGCAAATGAAGAAAGCTAAGTGACAAAATCATGAAAATGAGCCATTGAAGAGTGACAAATCATGGACAGATATTTTACCATCAAATCGCCATAGCATCGATTAGAATCATGGAAAGCTGGTTTGATTAGTTTGCTGACTGATCAAACTAAACATTTTATGCAGTACCTTAGTATATATTTAACTTCATAAGAGCAGCATTAAGTGGAAATGTAATGCTCTCTCTTACCCATTCTGTAAGATAAGATACACCTTCCTTTTTTCCTAATTGAAATTCCGCCAACTTTTTCTTTTTTTGCCTTTTTCTTTTATCTATCATTTCACCTTTTACTTTTTGTAGACGCATACTACTGTTCTTCTTATTAGAATATTACAAACGCAACAGCAACAACATTACCCCAGTGTTGCAAAGGCTTCCGCCTACGGTGGGCAAAATAAAAAATATCTATTATTTTAAGCCTGTGCCAAACCCAAATGAACCTTACATTTTAGGACATAGGCAGTGGATAGGGGATTTTTGGTTGTTTGGAATAATAGCTTTAGCATTACTCTTTCTTTGGGGAGGAGATAGTATTAATGTGGCCCCGTTAGACGGTTAGAGTTGTTGAACTGTTGGAGAATTGGTCATGCTCCATGATACTTGTCAATTTTACAATATAATATACCAATAAACAGCACATGACTATAAAATCTATCTCAACCCATTGTTGTATTGTGATATTTTCATGCAAGTGGAAATAATTAATGATGGTGGCATTCTTTAAATTTCATCGAAACATTCCTTCGTGAGAAGGTCCTCGACATTAATGACATCCAGAGCAAATCATTTTTACTATGCTTTTTGCATCGATTTAGTCATTTAGTGTTAACTAGCTATAAACAATTAATTCAAACTAGAAATTTTATGTCATCAACCCAACATAGTTGTTTATTTTAAGGGTGATTATGAAAGCTGTTTGACCTAGAGAACCCGAAACATACTCTATGAGTGTCTAGCCAGGTATTATGCAATGAAAATTTCCAACCCTGTTATCTCAAAGGATGGTGGTTGGCTTGAAGGTCAAGCAAGGACACTACTACAGGCAGGAGGAATAAACTTTCAGGATCTACCTTACCTCTATGAGAGTCAGGTATTGTTTTATAAATCCACTTTTATTTGTGATAAATAACCAACCATAAAAAATGAAATATCACCAGCTAGTATCTACTACACAGACAAACGAAGAAAGGAATATAGAGGAGAAAAGCTACAATAACCATTAGTAAATGATTTGGTTATTAGCAATCAATAACCAAATCATATGCCTTTCCTCTACACAGACAAATGAAGAAAGGAATATAGATGAGAAAAGCTACAATAAGCATTATTAGATGATTTGATTATTAGCAACAGAAATAATACAGAATCTTCTTCTATTGAGGTGTTTCCTTGTTTCAGAATATCAAGAATTGTTGCATACTCCGTACTTCTTAGTTCTTAGTAGTGTGCACTCATGTCACTTCAAAAAACAAACAGAATCTCCAAATCGAATGCATAGCATACATAGAGAAACTCAAAAACCAATTGTTTTCTAGTACTTCGTAAAAGCAAACGTCATTGTGATAAGGAAATACCTGACCACTTATTGAGGGATCCACAACAGCTCCAAAAATTAAGTTGGCGCTTGGATCAACAAGGTCGTATATGACCTCTGCTGCAGCATTTACCTAATAAAAGGTTTATAATCATTACACGGAAGAAGTCATTACACAAAGCTAGGGAAAAATGTTTCTGCTATACATCAACACACAATACATTGAATGGAGCTCCTCCTGTCCAAACACAAACTTTATTATCAGTATTTCTCTCTTGCACCATGTTTGTTTCGCTCCGTTACTCTCCATTTTCCCCACTTTTACCCATCCTAACGCAACATCAAGTGCAAGAGTTAAATCCCAAATCCCCACTAATATAACCATGAGGTAAGAGAAACCCAGCATGCAACAAAAACCGTTAACACTAGAAACATTACAAATTTTTAAAGGAAAGATAACTTTTAATAATACAAACTATCTTCCATGAACCAAGAATAATACGTACTTCTAAAATAACTTTTAATAACACTAACTACCTGAATATAAACCAAAAGTGATATGAGCAATTTTTCACTGAAAATTCAGGTATTTAAGTCATCAAAAACTAGCATCAAAATATCAAATAAGTGACTGTATTTCCAAATATCATTTATTTGATAGTTTGCTTTTAGTTCTCAATGTCTCAAATGACTGGTTTCTTGTCGAAAAGTGACTCCATATTATTTTTGTTTTATATTCAAATAGTTGGTATTATTAAAAGTCATTTTCAAAGTATGTATTATTCTTGGTTTATGAGTGATAGTTGGTATTATTTAAAGTTATTTTCCCAATTCAAAACTATTTGTGCAAGAAAATACCGCTGAACAGGTGGGGTAATAAGTTCTGAGAAATGCATCACAAATAAATTTAACATATAGTTAACCAAAATGCGGACTGACTAAATCAATAAACTGAAATTTGCAGATAGATGACATATATGTGTGTCAGACTGTCAGTGCTAGTCGTTTTATGAGGATGGATCTTTTGAATGCATAATGGTGCATGATGAAGAGATAGGTGTGTTTTTATCAAACCTTTAATAAGTTCTTACATCCATTAATTATTTTCCATTCATACACGTGTTCAGTAAGCCAATATGAAAGGTTCAGACAGCCAAAGCTTTGGCAGCATCAGTAAACTGTGTTGTGTTGTTTCAAATGAATGTAATGTTCAGTTCGAACATGCCACAAGATCAAATGCATGACATCAGAAAGGGTGTGGAAGGTAGGGAAAGTACCTCGAACAATGTTAAGTCAGTGCCACCAGTTATATTCCATACAATTCCAGTAGCCCTCTCAATACCAATATCTAGTAAAGGAGACTGGATGGCATTTAATGCAGCATCTCTCGCCCTGGTCTTCCCTGTGTAACAACAAGAAAATAACATCACTTTTTTGCTCTATTTTAGCTTTCACCATACAAAACAGCATCCAAGCCTTTGTCCCAAAAGAATTTGGAGCTGGCTATCATGAATATACACATGAGATCGAAGTGAAAAAAGATTAAAAGCTAAAAGGATAAGATAAATGCAAAAAAAGTTTAAAAGCTAAAAGGATAAGATAAAAAAGATTAAGAAGATAAGAATGAAGATCAATCACAGTCATACTCTCATCCAACCCAATAAGTAATATATCATTCTTGACCCTTCTAATTCACGCTTTTTTTGGCTCTCCCTCTCCTCCCCCACCTCTCAACTCGTCTATTTTAGCTTTCACCATAACTAGATAAATTAACTAGTTGATACTTTGATGGGATTAGATTGCAAAAAGTAAGTCAACATATTTCAATTTAATCACAAGATCAAATATATAGACACAATGTCTACACAGAACAATGATAGAAATAATATACCTAGATGATAGCAACTAAATTCGAATCCAAATGATGAACTTTAAAATAATACAAAGATAAAAGAAGCGAGGCAACAACAGCAAAAATTCTTCTGATAAAACTGATCAAGGTATCTGAGATGCATGAAAATACCTGTGGCAGTCCCTATCCCCATTAATGAAGAACCAGCATTTTCCATAATAGCACGTACATCAGCAAAATCTACATTTACCAATCCTGGTATCTGCAATTTGCAGATCATTAGGGTAAAGAAATTCAACCATCAATAGGCCATGTGGCCTGCATGTATTGGAATAAAAATAAATGATTTTACCACAACGAAATGCATAGAAAGTTGCAAAAAAGAATATGTTTTCTGGGTATTGTTTCAGTATGCATAAATATGAGTGTACTAACATACAAACTTGTTTAGTTCAGAATTATGATTAAAAAATCATCCCAAATGAATGAGAACAACTATGGCTATACGAATGCTCAAGAGCACCAAAGTACATTGTTTCTCTTCCTCTTCAGTAAGAAAATTATTTACGGTGGCTTTAGTTTCTCCAATGACCAAACATTGCTGAGTATGTATGCAAGGATATATTAGAATGGTTAAGTTCTGGGAAACTAATGAGTCGTGTATGTATATCTGCCACTTCAAATGTTATTAACAGTCAGCAATGCAATGCACACTAACTTTTTTGTGTTTTTCTAGTTTTACGCAAACTGCTTATAAAGGAATCATTGACGAAATGAGAAATAACACATGTTTCATGCATAAACTTGAAAGGCGTTGCGGTTATGGACAATTAATTACTTGTGTGTGTGGATACATATATGTATGTAAGTCAGCCACTTCAAATGATACCATAATACTACACCTGTCCATTAAGACTTCTATGTATGTGTTGATACTTCTATGTATGTGTTTCCATTAATTACTTGTGTGTGTGTTTCATTTTTATGTTTTCATAGTTTTACGAATTAACCCAAAGAACAGCTTGTATCAGTAACCTTTAAAGAATCGGTGGGTAATTACTCAGACTAAATGGCACTATGGGGTTTGAAATTCTTCAGGGGTTGTGGGATTGGGCTTTTGATGGCGTGGGGGAGGTCCAAATAAAAGTGCTTCAATGGGTTTAAAGGCAACTCATTAGACTAGGTTTTGTATTTTTCAGGTGCAGTCACTAAGAAGATAATGTGTTCCATAAGGTGAGGGGTCTATCTAGCCTGTATAGGTTACAATTGTTAGAGATTATCACACTGAACACACACACTCTGCAGTAATTAAAGACACAAAGATTTAAGGTGGTTCAGTCGTAATGACCTACATCCACACAGTTGCAACTAGAAGATGTATTATTTCTGTTTTTGCTTCTCAATTTACAGGTACATCAAGAGGATATTTATAGAGTGGGAATAGGGTTACAATATGGGCTTTAAATATGGGCTCTACCCTAATGGGCCTGCTGCCCCCTTAAGCCTCCATACATTACAATCTCCCACTTGGAGGCTTTGGCAAACTCCAAACTGTCTCCGTCTCTTCACTTGACACTTCTTGTACCTCTGTAAATTCTTTTCTTCTAGCAGCAGCGCCTTCTCATCGTTATTCCTGAAGGTCAGTTGAAGCTATGCATAGCTTCAACTTCTCTGAGGTAACCACCTTAGTTAGCATGTCTGCGGGATTCTCTGTTCCTTTAATCTTTTCAAGCTTCAATGTTCCATCACTGATAAGACCTCTGATGAAGTGATATCTAAGCTGAATGTGTTTCGTTTTTCCATGAAACACGGGATTCTTCCCCAGATGAATTGCACTTTGATTATCACAAAACAATGGACTGTCAGGTTGTTTCTTCCCAAGTTCTTCCATAAAATTTTTCAACCAAATCAATTCTTTACTGGCTTCAGCACAAGCCATGTATTCAGCTTCAGTTGTTGAAAGAGCAACGCTCTTTTGCAATCTGGACATCCAACTAACAGCGGTTCCTCCTACTGAAAAAACAAACCCAGTTGTGCTTTTATACGTTTCCTTGCATCCCCCAAGGTCAGCATCCGTATAACCCCTAAGAACAATGTCTTTGCCTGAGAACCGTAACCCCGTCTTCGAAGTGCCTTTCAAATACCTTAGCAGCCATTTGACTGCCTCCCAATGTTCTTTCCCCGGTGTTGAAATATAAACTAAAATGATATTAAAGATGGAGAGAAAGATTTTCTATGTATTTCATTGAAGGGTAAGGCCCTATAAATATAGATTACAAAGATAGAATATTCCTATAAAAGATGCTATACAATAATACTATATATGGTATATTCCTAATATATTCTAAAGCATATTCTAAAGTATATTCTAATATACTTTCACACTCCCCCTCAAGTTGGAGCATAGATATTTATCATGCCCAACTTGTTACATAAATAACCAACTCGAATTCCATTTAGTGCTTTAGTGAACAAATCTCCAAGTTGTTCCCCAGTCTTCACATATCCTGTAGAGATCAATCCTTTTTGTATCTTCTCTCGAATAAAATGACAATCGACCTCAATATGCTTTGTTCTCTCATGAAATACAGGATTGTTTGCTATGTGTATAGCAGCTTGGTTATCACACCACAATTTAGCTGGCATTGATGTCTTCAGTCCGAGCTCGGTCAATAAATGGCTTATCCATATGATCTCACATGCAGATTGTGCCATAGCTCGATATTCTGATTCGGCACTCGAACGAGAAACCACATTCTGCTTCTTACTCTTCCAAGATACAAGATTACCACCAACAAAGACACAATAACCAGATGTAGATCTTCGATCATCTTTAGAACCGGCCCAATCAGCATCTGCAAAACATTCTATTCTCATATGATCATGATTTTGATAAACAATACCTCGTCCTGGTGCACCCTTCAAGTAACATAATATGTGTTCTACTGCAGCCCAATGATCAATGGTTGGAGATGACATGTATTGACTCACTACACTCACAGAATAGGCAATATCTGGACGAGTGACTGCGAGATAATTAAGCTTTCCAACCAGTCTTCTATATCTTTCTGGGTCTTCAAACGGTGTGCCTTCTTGAGTGAGTTGCACGTTGGGAACCATGGGTGTTGTACTTGGTTTTGCCCTTAATTTCCCTGTCTCAGCTAGTAAGTCAAGTACATATTTACGTTGAGATAGAAATATGCCTTTCTTACTTCGTGTTACCTCAATTCCCAGAAAGTATTTCAAAGAGCCAAGATCTTTCGTCTGGAATTGACTATGCAAAAAATTCTTAAGGGCCAAAATACTTGCATTATCACTCCCTGTAATCACAATATCATCAACATACACCACAAGCAATGTGACACCTGATTCTGTTTGTTTGTAAAAGACAGAGTGATCTGATTTGCCTTTTATCATTCCAAATTGTTCAATAGATTGACTGAATTTCCCAAACCATGCACGAGGACTCTGTTTCAGACCATAAAGAGATTTGCGAAGTCGACAAACCTTACCATACTCCCCCTGAGCAACAAATCCCGGAGGTTGCTCAATATAGACTTCTTCTTTAAGGTCACCATGCAAAAATGCATTTTTAATGTCCAACTGGTGTAAGTGCCAATCATGAGTTGCAGCGAGTGAAATAAGTAACCTGACAGATGTTAATTTAGCAACAGGAGAAAAAGTGTCAGAATAATCAACACCATAGGTTTGAGCATAACCCTTCGCAACTAATCGGGCTTTCAACCGAGCAACAGATCCGTCTGGGTTAACCTTAACAGCAAAGACCCACTTACATCCAATAGATTTCTTCCCTGTAGGCAAGTCAACCAAATCCCAAGTACCATTAAGATCTAAAGCATTCATTTCCTCTACCATGGCATGACGCCATTCAGGATGAGACAAAGCTTCTTTGACAGATTTGGGAACAGAAATAGAATCAATGGAAGCAATAAAAGAACATGAAGCAGGAGATAACTGATTGTATGACACAAATGAAGAAATAGGATGAGTACAAGACCGTGTACCTTTACGTAGTGCTATTGGGAGGTCAAGATCTGATGTGGAGACAAGATCTGAAGATGCAGGTACTGGTTCAGGACATGAGATCGGAGTCGAACTAGTATCAGGATAAGTAATCACAGGTATCGCCGGTGGAGGGTGATCAGGTGCTTTGTGTCGACGGGTGTATACCAAATGTACGGGAGGCCTAGGGTCAGGAACAGTAACTTGTGGAATATTTGTCGAAAGTGTGGACTCGGGAATAGTCATCGTGTAAATGAGTATATCATCATTACTCTCATGAATATCTGCCTTAGATGATGAAAAAGGTGTATTTTCATGAAATGATGCATCAATAGAAACAAAATACCGACCAGTACTCGGACAAAAACATCTATACCCCTTTTGGACTCGAGAATAACCCAAGAAAATACATTTTAATGATTTGGGATCTAACTTTGTAAGATGAGGATTAACATCTCTAACAAAACAAGTGCAACCAAATATTTTAGGTGGGATAGGAAAAAGCTCTTTGTTTGGAAATAGACAATGATAAGGAGCTTTACCATTCAAAACAGAAGATGGCATTCGATTTATCAAAAAACATGCAGTAGACACGGCATCTGCCCAAAACTGTTTAGGCACATTCATTTGGAATAGAAGAGCCCTTGCAGTTTCTAACAGATGTCGGTTCTTTCGTTCTGCAACTCCATTTTGAGGAGGTGTGTCAACGCACGAAGTTTGATGAATAATGCCATGTTGAAGCATAAATGACTTAAATGTAGCAGATAGATATTCTTGGGCATTGTCTCCTCTTAACACCCGAACAGGAACGTTAAACTGAGTTTTAATTTCAGCACAAAAGGAAGAAAAATGAGTGAACAATTCAGATCGACGTTTCATGAAATACAGCCATGTCATACGAGAATAGTCATCAACAAAGGTAACAAAATATTTGAAACCACCTTTAGACACAACCGGGCAAGCACCCCAAACATCAGAGTGAACAAGGTCAAATGGAGCATTTGCTCGTTTATTAACTCGCGGGCTTAAGCTAGTACGATGGTGTTTCGCAAATTGACATGACTCACATTGTAAAGAGGTCATCTTATTAAATTGGGGATTTATTTGCTTCATTAATGGGAGAGATGGATGTCCTAATCGGTAATGAGCATCTAACAAAGTCCCAACCCCAAGACAAGAGATACCTTTTGTGATGGATGTATCCAAAATATAAAGACCAGCTGACTCATGTCCTTTACC